TATTTTACAGAAAATATTCAGATGTAACCCCCTTTGTAATCATTAACATTTACATAAATAAATGTAATTTAATTACACATTTTTTTCCTCTGATTTCAGTTACATTTATTTTGTAATTAAATTGTGTAACAATATTACATGTAATATATGTTGTGTGTGTGTGTGTGTGTGTTTATGTGTATGTTAGACCAGTTTAAGTGTTTATGTGTATGTTAGACTAGTTTAAGTGTTTATGTAGTTAATAAAGTCTTACTTGTATCACACTTGACGTTGTTCATTGTTTGCTCATAACTGGAGTCACTTAATCATGCAGATTTATGCTACAAGCTCTTTGTAGAATTGTACAGTAAGAAAGTTATTTCCCTTAACCAGGAAATTAACGTTCTTAGAATTGACAGACAGTTGACCCTGAGAGGTCAAGTAAATATCTACAGCGGATCTAAATATTTGCAATTAATTATAACTAGTTATGATTAATTATTCATATTTCCCCATGAGCTGATTCGCTACATTGCAGTGAACACAATCTTTATTTACAAAGAAACGCGCCAATGCTGATTACGTTGAGCCCGTTTCATTTTTTCAAGAAAGTCAGTGATGCACGTTTGTGTTGCAGACGTGAAATGACATGCAGTGCACAAGTTGTATGGACTGTACAGATATTTTTACCATCTCCTTGCATAATTAATGATGGCATTTATGCTGATATTGATTATTCGTCTGTCAACCAATAAGCTCAATTAATTAAATTTTTAATGGACATTAACCAGTCACTGACTAACCATGAACATCCTACAAGCTCAACCACAAAACTGACAGAGGAAGATATCATGCGTACGAAGAGCAAATAGATAGTCAATTTAGACTAGAGGCCTATTTCTTAAAATGTGGCTGGTGCAGCTGTTATTTTTAGGAGTGTATTGGTCCCTGCACTGGCTTCATGAGTCAGGTTTCAACGCCAGTCTCTGTTCTTCTCTAAAGATCGGAAGGCTCATGATGGAGACCACCAGGGACGCTGATCAGCTTTTTTCAGGACACGTGTAGACATGGTAGAAGAAAAGCTTGGTCTGGGTTTTGACAGACAAGACCAGGCTTGGGTGATTCATTTCCAGAGAGTGTGTCTATCTGTGCCTGTGCTGGACTTAATACCATTTTGCTAGTTTGATGGGCAGTATATTGCATTTCATGTAGGATGTCGGATGATCTGTAGCCTAACTGAGGTCATCTTTAATTCTCATTGTTCGTATTAATAATAAATTTTTTTTGCTGTAATAATGTCAATACTGTTGAGATATAGTTGTAAAGAAAGTTTTTGTGCTTCCTCTGATTATTTGTATGTTTCTCTGCAGGACTCTGAATCTCTGGACAACTGTATTCAGAGCACACTTTCTGCTCTCTACCCTCCATTTGAAGCCACTGCGGCCACTGTGCTATGCCAGGTGTTAGACGTGGTTGAGACGACATACCGTGGGGACGGACTGCGCTACATCATTGACTTCCTGGTGCCTGCTAAACACATCCTACAGAGCATTCAACAGGATGCATGCGTGAGTATCAAAGTTCTCTTTTTATATATTTATTTGTTAGTTCGTTCATTCATTATTATTTTTATTTAAAAAATTTTTTTTTACTTTTTATAACATCAGAAATAAAAAGTGAAGAAATAAATTAATAAATCTAAACTAATAACAAACCCCAAAACTAGGCTGATAAAATTCATAGACATGCATTCACATGCATTCAACAGGATGAATGTGTGAGTGACACATTTCCCTTTCATTCTTTTCTTTTCTCTTACTCACTGTTTAATGCATTCTGTCACTTATCTTAGTGTAACATTTACGACCTTATTGTGTTCATGATTTCTCTTTCAGCCTCTGGTTGTGTTTTGTCATGTCCTATTCTGTGTGTCATGTTTTGTTAGCTGAGCCCCCACTCATCATTAGTCATCATGAGGGTGTACCACACACACACACTTGTATGTTAAAACAAAAGGCACAGCAAGCCTGTTGGCCTGAATGTTTGTGTTAGTGCTTCTTGTTTTGGTTATTTGAGAAGAATCCCCTAGAAGTCCTATCAACACTGCAGAGCACTGGGATCTTTCCCAGCCAGATCAGTACAGATACACACACTCACATGCACTACACAGCTGTATACACACACATGTTCTTTACACTCGACTTCAGCTGCTGGTCCCTCAGTTACAGTTTTCTTTGTGACGCCCCCATATGCTACACACACAGCATACTTTACTCCAAGTGACAAGGAGTGGACAGGAAATGATGGATAGATGGAGATCGGGAAATAACAAGAGCCGGGCTCAAATTCACACTACAGAAAAGATCAGCTTTGACTAATATCAATCGAGAGGCCAATTGTAGTCTGGGTAACATGTATACATGCTAAACAAAACTGAGTTAAAATCAAGTTTTTTTTTTTAGGTCTGTTAGTCTGACTGGTACAATATGGCATTTTAAAGGGGTCATGAATATGATATGATATGATATATGATATAGCACTTTATTGTCAGATGAGTTTGAAATTTTTCTTGCATGACAGTATCTATGTTTACAACAATCAAAATCCTTAAAACAACAACATGCACTTCATCCACACAAGAATAAAACACATTATACATTACACTCCTTTAAACATTACATTATACCTTACCCTCCTACTACACTTATACAACTACACCACGTTCACCATACTCTTGATTTTTTATTAAGTGTCTTATTTAACTCTAGGATCGCCTGATGCACAAAAGAGTGTTTCAGCCTAACTTTGTTGAATCTTAGGACTCTGTACCTCCGGTTTGAGGGTAATAATTCAAGGTCAGCCCCTTGAGAAGCTATATGATTCAGCTTATTATAATAATTTGTTAAGACTGGCCTTTTTTATTATTTTGTACTGTTCTCTGAAGTCCTCTTATGTTTTTACATAAAAAAACATCGTAATTTAGAAGTAATAGGCTATTTTCTGACCTGTTTTGACCCTTTCATCGAAATGCTCTGTATAGGCGTGGTGGATTGTAGACCATAAAGTAAAAAAAAATAAAGTTCATCCACTCTTTCCTAATGTTGGGATCAGAAGGAAGGCAATGCAAAGACTGTGTTTTTCCACAACTTGGCACTGCACAGTGTCTTTTTGTTGCCTTCAGAGCCATCTTTATCGTTTGGTTTCTTTATTCATTATGCGTGAATCGGTGGGCAGGGCTAAATAGGCAGTGATGTAGAAACAGGTGTTGATCATCTTCTGTGGAGGCGGGGTTTAGCCACACTATTATGTCATAAAGTGGCACATTCCACAAGCTGTTGTTTTGGCAGATTGGCTTCATTATAAGCTGTTTTTAGACTAACGAGAAAGTTTTGAGTTCTGAAACTTACAGGATGTTTTTATAGTACAACGACCTCTTGTATGTCAAAAGATCAAAGGAATTTTGATTTCTCAGTTCATGACCCCTTTAAAAAGATGACTTGTGGTTTTAGTCTGACAGAAATCAAACATTTAAAGTGCATGTAAAGACTTTATGACTACTTATGATGATTCTGAGAACAGAAAGACCTCAGAAATTCCCATCATCTCACACAAAGGAATATCGGTGGTGTTTCATTAGCTGAAAGACCGTGCCAGGGGAGAGCTGGAGTGGTTCCAGTGTGCACCTGAAAAAAGACCCTTTAACAGGACCCCTACCATTTTGTTTATACCCCCTTTTACTGTCTCGCTTTTTGTAGTTTGTGTGTGCATGTGTGTGTGACAACATGCATTTATGCTCTCATGAACCCTGTGGGAACAGCGGCTGCTCGCTGCACCTGGGGTCAGCGGAGTTTCTCCAGGTCTCTTCCTCTGTGTAGGTGGGGGCTGGAGCTTGAAGGTGAATGAGGATATAATAATGGGAAACAGAAGCTTAAACTGAGAGGTCTGTGAATAAAAAGCCCTTTCACCCCCCCCTTAGCTTCGGCACAAGGACACCCAACCCTCCTTCCTCCCTTGCCCTGCTATGCCTTTCATAGGAAACGGGTAATTTTCAGCCTACCGTAGTCAACTTAAGCAGAATATTCATTTCATCGCCGGTATATCCGAAAGCATGTTTGCATCAAGTTACACAGAGAGAGTCAGTATTACAGTCTGTGACATGACTGTCAAGGCATATAGGAAGAAACCCACTGAATTATGCCGTTGTTTCGGGACTCTAAGGCTATTTTCTCATTCTTTAGTGTCCCAGTACATTTCCGTTGTAGTAAACTCTGCAAGCAGAATTCATTCAAATGAATGAAACAGGGTACAGAGTGACTACAGGGTTCTCTCTCTCTCTGAAACTGAGTTACAATAAAGGGGCTTATTGTGCAAACTGGCTCATTGAATCATCTAGAAGCATCCGGATTCAGCAAGAAAGAATCTCTCATAATCCCTGTCCCTGTGATCTTATTATATGTAGTATTCACTATGCTGCGTTAATAAAATGCCATTTTAAAAACATGGTAAAGGTGGAAGAATGTTGCATTCATTTAATTTAATTTATTGCTTATATTTTACTTTTTGCAATACATATTTTTCCATAAAATCCCTATTGAGCAAGCCAAAGTAAACCTTGGCAGTTTGTTGTTACCAATAGTTTCCCATGAGAGACAAACCTGTTATCTCATGTCACTTTGTTCACTTAGAATGGGAAAAATGGCAAACATAAATAGCCATCGTGTCTTGTCTTCACATTATAATCTTCAAAATTATAATATGCCAAATATTATAAATTAGCTGGATGACCCATTGGAACCTTGCCTCTAACTCTGTTTTGCTTTTTTTTTATTAGCAGTATATTAAAAAAATTGTTATGTATTTTTTTAAGATAACTGAAATGTGTCCAGCAAGTCTTTCTATGTAACTAATCAACAGTTAAATTAACAATTATTGATGGCCTGACTGATTATTCCCTCTCTCTTTTCTCTGCAGTTCCCATACTGTGGTTTCCTGTTTCGTCATGAGGGCTGGCCGCTGTGTGTCCATGAGAAGGTCATAATTCAGCTCTCTTCTTTGGACTGGCGTGTGTTACGGCCCAGCGACTTCTACTTACAGGTGACGCCTTCGCCCAAAAGCCGCCCGCGTATCACGGTGAAGTGTCTGGCAGTTAGCGGGCAGCATGTGGAGGAGCTGGACGTGCCAGAGCTAACATACACCTCTCTATTCACCATGGATTGGCTGGACTCCATCAACCGGGGGAGGAGTGTGGTCAGACGAGCCGCCCTGGAACACTGTCTTTTATCAGCGGATAATGATATTTTTAGGGTACCCTGGGAGGATATTATTCACCCGGAGTTTATCAGCAGACCCCCTAAAGTTACAGAACAAGCTGAAAGTAGAGGGGTGTGCAAGGAAGTTGCCAACAGAGAGGAAAGGGACTCAGACATAGATCAAGAAGACAACCCTGAGGACATACAATGTAGGATTTTTATTGACACTTCCACTGACCAATCAAGGGAGATGGACTGTCAGAGCAAGGGGGTTAAGCTCCTCCCTGCTCTCAGTGAGATCGGTAAAGATAGCAGTGGACGGAGCTCTAGCAGCACGGCAGAGGATTCAGAGGGAGAGTATGTGGAGCTAGCTGATATCTCCTTACCGCGCTTTTCCCCACAGAAGGGCTCTCTCACTCAAGCCATTAGCATGAACTACAGAAATCTACATAAACCACAGACTGCGGCTTCTACTCAGCCTAAAGCCAAACCAGAGCAGAGTCTTTTGAAGAATGGCGCATGCTCACAGAGCATGGTGTGTGCCATGCTGATTGAAGAAAACCTGAGTGATACCTACCAACCTGTGATCTTAACCCGCACTGCTCCTGCAGAGGCAGAGCATCCACTCCAGCAGGTGGACGGGTCTGAGCACACCTGTGCTGCAGGTACAGCCTCCTGTGACAGTGTGTCTGAGAGTGAGTTTGTGTCTCAACACTCCGACTGTGATTCTGCTCCACTTTCTGATACGTCAACACATAACATATCACAAACAGACAGTAAACCAGTCAACACATCACAACTAGACAACGAGCCAGTCAAGACAACACAATCAGAAGTTAAACCAGTAAACACATCTCAGCTAGACAACGAACTAGTCAGCACATCACAACCTGACAGCAAACCAGTCAGCACAGCACAACTTGTCAGTGTGCCAGTCAGGACATCACAATCAGACGTTAATCCTGAAAGCACGTCTCAACTAGATAACAATCTAGTGAGCACATCACAGCTAGACAATGAGCCAGTCAAGACGTCGCATCCAGAACTTGAAACAGTAAGCATAGGTCAGCTAGACAATAGTCTAGTCAGCACATCACAACCAGACAGCCGACCAGTCAGCATGTCACAACTAGTTAATGAGCTAGTCAAGACATCACAACCAGACGTTGAACCAGTAAGCACATCTCAACTTGACAGCAAACTAGTCAGCACATCGCAACCAGATAGCAAACCAGTCAACATATCACAACTAGACAATAAGCCAATCAAGACATCCCAAACAGACATCAAAACACTAAGCTCATCTCAGCTAGACAACAATCTAGTCAACACATCACAACCAGATAACCAACTATTCCACACAGCACAACTAGAATGTGAACTGGTTAGTTTATCTTTACCAGATAGCAAACCACTCAATACATCACATTTGTACAACATGCCACTAAGTACATCACAAACAGACAACAAAACAGTTCGCATGGAGCAACCAGACAGCAAAGTAATTAGTATATCACAACCAGAAAATGAAATGTTATCTGGTACTTTAGAGAGTGAAAACTCAGAACAAGTTTCTCTGGCTAATATTGAACTTGTTGTGTTTGATCCTGCTGCAGAAGCAGAAGTCATATCTGAATCTGAGCAGGTCAGAGGTGATCATGGCCTGAAAGGCAGTTGTGATGTGCAGAATAGCAAATTGTTGGTTTCTGAGCCTTTAGCTGTCAGTGTGTCTTTACAACAACAGACTGAGCAAACAGAGCACAGCCTATGTCAGATACACAGACACATCCAAACACCATCTGAGCAAGTGCATGATCTTTCTGTCACAAAAGAAGACCATCAAGCATTTAGTAACAGTAGCCATGACAATAATGAATCTGATGGTGATTATAGTTTCAGTGCAGAGGAAGAAAGTGGGCCTGTTTCGACTGCTCCACAAAGCAAACAGGTAGCTTTGGCCTCGGTCACCACGGCGCCTGAGGAGGATCTGGTTACGCTCATTTCACAGGGTCAGGTGAGGACCGAGTCCTGCAAGGACAGAAACAACAAGACTGAGGTGGAACTCCAGACAAAAGCAGCACATGCAGAAAGAGAAGTTGCGGGAAAGTCACCTTGTAAGGAGGGAGAAATGGTAGAAAAGAAAATCATTGGAATGACAGAAAGCAAAACAGAGAACGATATAGTAGCAGTTTGTAGGGCAGAAGAAGTTGAGACTGCTCAAACAGGTCTGGTAGATTCCACACCCAAGTCTGATTCCAACGTTCAAGTTCAGGAGGCGGGCAGCTGCTCTGAAGGAACAGATGAGAAGAAACAAACCAATGTTGAAGAGAAAGGGGTGGAGGAAGAGGAGACAGAGGACATTACTGTGAGTGAGCAAGGGGCTATAGTGACCAGCTATTCTGAAAATAGAGTCCAGTCAGCATGCAATCAAGTCCTTGATGCAGACGCATATGTGCAGAACACAAATGGACACATGCACACTCAGGACACACCTACCACCGAACGAGAAGGGCAAAAATCAAAGGAGGAGGAGGAGAGAAAGGGGGAAAAGGAGGAGAGGCAAGAGGATGAGGTTACTTCCTCTGTGAAAGGCTCTCCAGCAGGGCATCAGCAACAAGCAGACATGGAGACCCATTACCATCAGCAGGAAGAGCAAGGTAGAGTCATCTTTACCAAAGTCCATCCCGCTCACCTTTACACTATCCACATGCTTTTTCTCCTTAAACTCCTCCCACTTTTCCCATTCTATTTCCCCTTTTGCCTCCATCCCTGTTTCTTCATCTTAACAGATGCATCTAATGCTTTCATCTGCTTCAGATGCATCTAAAGACTTTCTCTGCTGATGAAGAAGGACCTGCTTCTCTTTCTTCTTCATTAATTCCATTCATAACCCACTTACACAGTTTTTTCTTCTTCCTCACATTTTATCAGTATATTTAAATTTTGATCATTATAATCCCCTCTTTTATTCACTTTTAGCTTGTTTAATGGAGTTTCACGCATGAATTGTGTTCTTCTTCACAAACTCCATGGTTCACAGCAGTTTTTCACTATGAGTAATTTTTTTCATCATTCATTTATTGCCATGCCCACCTAGTATATTTATTCTAGATTAGCAGACTAGCTCCGGCGTTTTGAGATTCAGGCCTCTGACAAGTTACAAATGGCTCTCAAATGGCCCGTGCAATGGCCTGATAGAGCTCCTTTTCTCTTTAGGCTGAAAGAAAAGCGTGGGAGGCTCTGGTTTTACTTAGACTGGGCGCTTTACAAGGACTGACTTCATAGCAGGTCATATTCCGGCCTCTAGACAGTTTGTTTTCAAATTTGGACACCCATTAATTCCACTGAACATCGTCCAAGATAGACGCCGTTTCACATCTGAACTGCTAAAGGAAACAGCTGAAGAGAAGCCTGGGTCATGTGCAGGATTTCTGCTTTGTGTACTTTAGTAACTCAATCCTGCTTTCGTTTAGATTAAGCTATTTTTAGACACTTGCTGTAGAGAGTAAAGCAGAGTGTTTTTGTGTGATCAGGAGCTGCTTGTCTGCGCATACATAATGCATTATATCTGCTTTTTATGAAGCCCTGCACACAAATTACGAGTTTGTTCCTATTACTTATTAATTTGTTCCCTCATTTTAAGTAAAGCAAGGCCACTCTGTCCTAATTAGTTCCCACAATATATTAAATAAGTAGTACCACATGGCCACAGTTTGATTAACACAAACTAACAAATTCTTAATACGTGACCACATCATTATTTAAAAAAAGTTTTTTAATTAGTCCTCCACATTTTGAGTTTCCGCAAAGGTTGCTGTCAGTGTCCCACCTCCTCTTCATCCAGAGGATTTGCTTGCCAGGATGTGCTCACCTGGCTCAGGTGTGCTACAGGTGTGAAGAAAGATACATGAGATGAGGTGAGGTGGGTGGGCCTGAACACAAACCCTGCTGTGGGACCTCTGAAATTGCAGGGGGTAAGCGGAGGGGGGTGTTTAAATGTGTGTGTTTGAGGGTTATAGATGGAGAACGGGTGGGGGGTTGCACTGCTTTGAAGACAGGAACAGCAGAAAGAAGAAATGATGGTGTGTTTGTTGTGGTAGTTTGACTATGATAGATCTGATTCTTTCTCTCTTAGTGGGTGGTTCACAAACCCTAAACATTTTTTGAGTTTTAGTACTACAGTGGTGTTGGCTGTTACCTCTATACACACAAAGAAGTAAGCTTATCTGCTATTTTTTTCTGTTTTCATTTAGTCTTTTCATCGTATATGATGTTTCAAGTGTATTAGATTCACTAGAAATTGAAATGTTAACTTCAAATATTCAGTGGGGAGTTTAGCTTGACTATTTTTAGTTCTGAAACGAAAATTATCTTTGGACAATGCTTCTCTAAAAATCTATAAAACCTCTTGAAAAGCAGTACAGACTTTGATGAGTATTCAGTCTGTGAAAGAGAGAGCTGATGAGCTGGGCAGATGGAACACACACACACGCGCACACACATTTACAAACTGACTAAAGAACTACATAGTATGGATAAAATCTGTAAAATTTCCAAAAGTGAGCAATGTTTGATTTGTGACCGCTTGGCCAGACCATGCATTTACTAATGTGTGATTTTTACAACAGACACATATACAGTATGTACACACATTCATAGGGAGGCACGTAATTGCAGTCATTCTATTACAATAAAAATAATGAATGTGTCTGCTGTATGAAAATATATTCAGTATAAATAGCATGTTATAGAGTTGTCCCTAACGGTCTGACTATTCAGTGTCCGCAGCCACATCAGAAAAAAAAGAAAATCAGATAGAAAGGAGAAGAAATGCACAAAGAATAAAGGACATGGCCCATGGCCAGACTGAACTCCAGACTGTGGTGAGAGAGTGTGAAGCCAAGACCCTCTCTGCTCTGCCCTGTCTGGGGCAGCACTCGGCTCCTCGGGGGGCTCATATGGTCGACTTCCTCAATGTGAGCATTCTCTGGCGAGGAGGATGTTGGGTAGACAAGGAGACAGAGAGAAAGCAGAGAGAAAGATTATGCTTATATATGATTATGCTTCAGATCAATTTATACTTGTTTTCCTTGTCCTGTGCAAGCTGTTTTACGAGTCCTGGAATTCCTAGGACTCCATCTCATCTGTTTTTGATCTCAGTATCTATTTTCTGCACAGCAGCAGCAGTGCGTGGCAGCACAGCAAAGTGAAACTTTAGTTTTATGACTGTCGCAAGCTGATCTCCAGTTATCTCTGAGCCCTATCTTGCTGTCAGGTATATGGGGCAGAGATCCAAGCTGCCCTATGGGTCGATGCACAAGATGATACATCGAATGCTTAAAATTAGCTTGCAGAGTGTGTTTGTGATTTGAGGGCCAAGCTGCATGATGGTACAGATTGGACAAATGCTCATGCTCCAATCAGACATCTCTGTGTTGCTGTCTGTTAATAGGGGATTATAGAGAATGTGGGTCTACTGGCTTTATAAAGAGATCTGTCATGTGAAAAGACCTCAGTGTTTTCAGATTCTGAATAGCTTTGTTTTTCATGACCCAGAGATTTAGCTTTTTTTTAAAGTTTGAGCCAAATATAGTTATCAGTCAGCCATCAGTAAGCTGTGCTGTCTTCAGTGAGTAAGAGTCTCAGTTAAATCTATTTTTGTTACTGAGCAATCAAACATTGCAGTAAAGACTAACTCACATTGATCAAATCAATGTATCTGTGGACTTACTAAAGACTATGTACTAATGTACTATATGTACTAAAGACTATGACTGTTGTCAACATTTTAAACTGACTTGCAATGGGTTTCTGTGTTTACATTTTAGGTGTGTGTGTGTGTGTGTGTGTGTGTGTGTGCTGGTGTTGTTTGTGTTGAAATGATTTTTTTTTTTAAATATTCCAGCATCCAGTCAGGAAGTAGACAGTATTGTTTCCCATCTGTCTGCTAAGACCCAAGGTGAAGACCCCTCAGCAGTTCCTCCACTACTGCCGCCCATCTCCCAGAAGACCCAGCCTGTCCAGAGGGAGGCTCATGACATCAATCCTGATGTCCTGAGCTCAGGAGTGCTCTGCCTGCCTGGTGAGGGTCTTCTTTAATTGCTATTAATGTGGTCTTTCCATCAATTTGATCCAAAAGCTCATCTTTTTAAAATAAATTTTAGGAACAAGAGATAAATCAGGCCACGCGCTTGTGACAGTGAAAACAAGAAACACTATCTGGTTGAATCCAAACTGCAATAGTGGAGAGCTGGTGCGGATCATGGTCTACTTCTTCAGTACACTCAGGTAACTACTGCAGTTCAAAAGTTTGTGGTCAGTTATTTATTTATTTTTTAATATTTTTGAAAGAAGTCTGTTATGATCACCAAGGCTTCATATTTTTGATTAAAAATACAGTATAAGCAGTAATACTGCGAAATATTACTAAAATTTAAAATACTTTTTCTAATTGAATATTTATTTAAAATGTTATTTTTTTCCTGTGTTGGCAAAGCTGAATTTTCAGCAGTCTTCAGTCTCACATGATCCTTCACAAATCATTCTAATGTGCTTAAGAAACATTTCTTAATATTGTTATCAATGTGTAAAACAGTTGTGCTGATTAATATTTTTGTGGAAACCATGATAAGTTTTTTTCACAATTCTTTGATGAATAGAATGTTTTAGAATAGATTGTGAATAGAATAGAGCAGCATTTATTTGAAATAGCATTATAACATTATAAATATTTTACCAGCACTTTTGATTGTCTTAATGCGCCCTTGCTTAATAAAAGTATTAATTTCTTTCAAAAAGCCAAGAAAATCTTACTGACCCTTAACTTTTGAACAGTGGTGTTGGTGTTTTCTCTCTCTCTAAATCAATTTATTAGACAATAGGGATGTGCCGATACGAGTATATATTTTTTATGCCAGTGTCCATCAGCGAATCTGCTGACGGACACCGTGCTGCGTTGTTACGGGAACATGCCAGCTGAAGATAATGAGGAAATTACATCGCTCGCTTTGCCAAGTGCATTCCAAACGACTACATAATGGCACACACGTGCCCTGCTCACTCCAAAGTCCCCACTCCAAGGGGATAGGGATGATCACTTCCGTTTGGAATTTGCCCCGTGAACCGTTCGGTACCGATACTCGTATCGGCACATCCCTATTAGACAATAGACTTTTCTTAGTCTACTTTTATCATCCTGTGCTGTTTTTGTAAATAAACTAACAAACAATTGTATATGTGATTTTATTTATTTATTTATTTTTTATTCTACCCATCCTTCATCAAAAATTGTGACCTTGATTTGACAAACAGGAAGGAAGTTAGTGCTTTGGGACTGACTGTCCTGGTGGATGCCCGCAGGTGTTCTCCTGTCCCCGCCCTCTTTAAAGCCTTCAACATCCTCCAGGTAAGAACACCCTGACAGTATGATTTGTGATAACGCACACATATACAGTCTACCATTCGTCCATAACCTCCAGAGAATCCTACACAGAGAGAACTGTAACATGCCGTTCACATCCTCAAGGCGTTTCCTTTCACATACTTGCTTCAAAACTAAATGGAATGCAAACTTGCCATGTATCCTGATATTTACTTTGAACAGACATCTGCTACTTAGGAATTCAGAAGATGGCTTACTAAACTAAAGCAAACATTCTAGAAGAGTTTCCATCGACAAAATCAGTCATTTTTGGCTAAACAAGGCAAATAAAAGCAGCACATAATAAATATTAACTGTGATTTACCAGCTGTGGAAATAAATAGTTATAGCAAACAGAAAGAGTTACACAATAGGACATACTCACACGAGAGTAAGAGAGCGAGGGAGATGGGTTTGGTTTTCCTTTCCTCATCTGGGATTGGTTATTTTGCAGAATATATCAACTAATGACTAGGGATGCACCGATACCACTTTTTCCAGTACTCGCCCGATACCGATACTTTTATTTTTGGTACTTGCCAATACAGAGTACCGATACCGATATTTTTATTGCATTTATACATTTTAAAAATATTGGGTACAGAAACCAAAAGAGTATGTATAATGTTAGTTGGTTAACTTCATTTATCAAATAGATACAGTCAAACCAAAATTTATTCAGACACCTTCAACATTTCTCACATTATCACAGTTTATTTGCTATAGTTTAGAACATGGTAATAAAATATGACAAGAACTCAGAGTTAAACTGAGTCAGAACAAATTCAGCTTAATAATGTCAGATAACTTTGATAGAAAGGTATGTAATAGATTACAATCAACCAAAAAATATTCAGACAGCTGTTAGTATGACAGTATTTACACAACTATCAATACTTAGCCGGGCAACCCTTAGCCTTAATGACAGCATATAGTCTCCTGGGCATGCTGTCAACCAGGTTCATGCAAACCTGAACTTCAATTTTTT